CAGGAGCAGGGAAGTGACTGTGGCCCTGTACCCAGCCTTGGTGAGGCCACACCTCGAATCCTGTGGTCAGTTTTGGGCCCCTCACTACAAGAAGGACACTGAGGTGCTGGAGTGTGTCCAGAGAAGGGCAACGAAGCTGGTGAGGGGTCTGGAGCACAAGTCTTATGGGGAACAGCTGAGGGAACTGGGGTGGTTTTGTCTGGAGAAGAGGAGGCTGAGGGGAGACCTTATCACTCTCTACAACTACCTGAAAGGGGGTTGTGGTGAGGTGGGTGTTGGTCTCTTCTCCAAAGTAACTAGCAATAGGAGAGAGGACGAGAGGAAATGGCCTCAAGTTGCGCCAGAGAAGGTTTACACTAGATATTAGGAAAAATTTCTTTACAGAGAGAATGGTCAAACATTGGAACAGGCTGCCCAGGGAGGTGGTAGAGTCACCACCACTGGAAGTATTCAAAAAAACGTGTGGACGTGACACTTTGGGACATTCAGTGGGCATGGTTACATTGGGTTGATGGTTGGACTTGATGATCTTAAAGGTCTTTTCCAACTTTTGTGATTCTGTGATTCTATACCTGAAACTCAATCTGACATGTAGATTCCCATTTACAGTAACATCTCATTTTTAATTACAATTTGCTTCAGGACTTAAGTTTAGAGACTATCATAAACAATATAACACTTTTTTTTTTTCAAGGTCATTAAAAATATTTTTTTTTGGTCTCTACTGAGACAAACTTCAGGGAAGTTCTGGTATAGTTCTGAACCACACTAAACACAATTAGTTTTCTAGCTAACTATTCTCATAGGTAGGCAAACCAATCTTCTTTCATTAAGAGAATCTTAGCATTAACAAAAATACAATAAACAAATTTTGTATTGCCATTACAATTGTTACTAAACATTTGTATTCTGCACAGAATTAATGCATAAAGATTAGTGTTTTAAGTGCAGAAAAATGCAAATTCTACTACCGTCATGCTGTGCAATGCTTGCAGAAGAACTTGTAACAACAGTTTTACCTTGCCATCCACATGTACACATTCATTAAGGTAAACCAAAATCTTTTCTATCGCACCCAACTTTTTCACAATGCCATGCATTTTGGCATCTGTAAGAAAAACAAAAAGATAGTAAGAATCACTGGTTGTGCGCCAATTTAATATTAAACTTCTTTCTGCAAGATCACAAGCTCTTGCTGTTGAGAACAAGTTTCCAAAATTGCCTATCAACAGAAGTACAGCTCTAGCTCTACCAAGACAAGCCTCAACAAGTCTTGTTATCTGACTATAATAGCTTCTTGAACAGCAGACTCTTAAATACCTTGCATAACTTCCCATAAGAACTTTATGTTCCACAATTACAGTGATCCCCAGTGCAACTCAGTTTCAGTCAAACGAGGATTTCACTTGTAATATTTAAAAAGTCTTCAACAGTTTAATATGGAACTAAAAATGGTAATTCAAAAAGTCAATCACTATGACAGTATTTTCCATTGATGTCATCCTTCAGAGCATCTGGTTTAAGAATATTCAACAACAAAAAAAGCTATGTCATTTGGGTTGGTTGGGTTTGTTGTTTTTTATTTTTAGAATAATTATTAAGTGATCCTTCATATGTAATTTGTTCTGATAAAGCTGCATTATTTCCTTTATAATTTCATCCTATGCTATGTTCCGTATTTTCTTTTGACATCTGAAAACTTTGGCAGCCATGACTAACTGTATTTTACAAGACAAAGCAGACATTTCCTCATTTTTGTGATCATTTTTCTGACAAGAAAAATGTTAATTTTAATATTATCTAAGACCTCACCTTCCCATGGTGAGAAACTTATGTTCTATCACTAGGATTTGAGTCCCTTGAAGAAAAAACATACTTGAATCAGAGTTTGAGTAGATAAAGTACTAACATGCAGGTTTGAAACTCTACAGCTATAACCCTGCACTGAGCCAAATAATCCTCTATGAAAGACTGCTTACTTGCATCTTAATTCAATCGGATCTTCTTTACCAGAATTCATAATTTTTCCCCATGTGAGCAATACAATTATAAAAAAAACCCCACACCTGTGATGCAAAGTTGTCATTTAAGTGACTGATCATAAAAAGTAAAAGGAAGAACACTTCCCCTGAAAATATATTAGAAGAAATGCCACAGGGAGTTTGCCTCATGATATTATACCCTAACAATGGAAGCTTAGCTTGAACTGAACCCTCATTCACACAAATGACATTTCAATCCATTTTAACTGCAGTTACTACTTAAGCCAACTCAAAATGGAGGAAGAAATTCAAAATGACACAAGAAATTCTTCACTAAGTATTAAAATCCCTTTAGCTAGCCTATATAATCTAGGAATTCACTTTCCTAATTAAAATACAACATCACTAGAAATATATAAATATATTTTATATTGACCATTGCCTCCCTCACTCAAGACTCAGGATCTGAGTTCATAATAGCAAAAAATTTGAAGCATCATTAGTTCTGAAACAGATCAACAAATTGACAAACATTAAAAAGGAAAAGCAGAAAAAAAGCTCTCACAGAGCTTAATCCTCTATTACCCAAGGGACCTGTATTTTTTAAATAGGAAGAACACTATTTCTTATTCTTGAGGTCAGCAACAACAAATAACTACTTTTTATTTGACTCAGTAGATTATCCACATTAATGTTAAAATTCTGGTCCAACAATATAGATAAAAATTACAATGAGTACCCTTAGCAGAAACACAGAAAACGCAGCAAAACTGCAAGCTCACACAATGGTCTGCACATGAATACAAATTTTCTGAAGTATTTTACCTTCTAAAATGATAGCTAGCTGCTCGGCTGCAGACTTGCGTAAAACTAGGTCAACAGCATCAGAAGTCAAGATGTCATACAGCTTTTCAACAGCTTCTGCCTAAAAGTAAAACTACATTACGTTTACATCCAGTATGCTATTAAGAAACAAGATAACCTGTCAAATTTTCTAACAGAAAGCAGAAAATAAAAGTATCTAAATTCCTTATTAGAAGGTATTTGATTAAATTCCACATGCAAGTAATAAGAAAGGATTAGGTTTTAATCTTTTTGCAACAAGTCTCTAATACTACCTGTGGAATATAACAAGACAATAGTTTCTACCTCACAGCAAAAGCAGATTTCTAACAAATAAATGCTTAATTTATGCAGGACTACAGAAAGCTCAACACTACACAGAAATGCTAGAATTTGCTTCTATGTCTGTGAAGAAGATGGACTTTTTAATGGCAATAGAGTTAAAGAAATTTAAATAATCCTACATATCCATATAAAATTTCAGGTCCTAACTTTTTGAAGGATGTAGGGGAAGAAGGGAATATTTACACTTGTAAATCAAGTGTACAGTGAGTGGTCAAAATAATTTTTCTTTTGTAGAGGGCAAGCATCTTAGCATTTGTTTAACATTTTATTAGTCTGAAAGCATTGATGGTGAAGAAGGAAGGAGAATGGAGAGAAGATCTTAAAAAAAGAAAAACAAAAGACATAAAAGTTTCCCATATGACAAATACTTGTGAATTCTTTTTCACTTTGCAAAGCAGCAATATTAAGAAAATACAGACATGAATTTGTTATCTGTTTTAGAATATTTCATACTAAAAACTATTTGTGCCTGTTTCAGTAAAAATGGATTTTGTGGAGAAAAAAAAAGCTCTGTGTGAGAAAAATCAGACTCTACTCTCGTTCAATGAAACTATTGTAAACAGAGCAGGCCTATGCTCTTTGTACTCAAGCTAAGTCTTGCTGTTAACTTACCTGCAGAGAGAAGGGGGAAAAAAAAAAAAGAAGAAAGAAGGAATTCTTTTCTTATTGTTTCATATGGTAGCATAAAAACTACTGTTTAAGTTCAGATGGAAAGAATATATTAATGCGTTTCTTTTTATGAATTTGTATGAAATATTGCAACCTCTAAAAAGTATTAACTTCAATGACTGGGGAGGTAGAAGAGCTGATCAGTGACACAACATTTGGACAGAGTTTACTCACCTTAAGTATCGACTCTGTTTTATCATCCAATTTTAGCTCAATAGCTCTTTCCATTATAAATAAGTTTGAAAAGCTGGAAAGCACACTACCATGCAGATGTGGGCGTTTCAGGTTTGCCCCTTCTTCATTCAAAAGATGGAATGTTAAATGTTTAAGTGCTATAGAACGAACCCTAAAGGAGTAAACAATTAAAATAAATATATGAAGCCCTCATACTGAAAAAATTTAGCTGTATAGTTAAAAACTGATACCAGGGCAAGGGAAAGTACTTACTCAACTCAATATTGATTAAACTACCCTTCAAATCAACCCACTGCATAATAATCAATGGGTTTTTTTAGAGTAGACGTTCTTGTCATCAACATTAGAAAACATGCTGAAATGCTACAGGGTGTTACTTACAACTGCTTTTTTGCGAAGAGAAGACGCAGAGCAGCCCGTAGTCTAGTAGTCCTAGGGAGAATACCCTCTCCTTTGTCAGAGGTTGTTTCACTCAAAGTGAGGATACAGTTACCTAGCGTATCTTTTGTGTCAGCATAACCCTAAAACAAACAAACAACAAACAAAAATTTCCGAAATTAAAAACTATCTGCTTTACAAACTTAACAAATTAGACAAGGTAATTCCCCTCTTAGGGGCTAAGGGAGGGTGCGGAAGGAGCAACATCCCCCCCAAAAAAGCAGTTACTTTTAAGAAAACATGCAATTTCTGCAGATTAATATTCCTCCATAAAGCAATTTTAAAAATTAATAAATGATCCTGTGTACCAATCAGTCTGAAGATTTTTACATGGCCCAGAGGTACTTTGGGTACTGTAAAAAGTACCCAAATGTACTGAAGCTTTACCTTTCAATCTATTAACATGATGCTGCTCTGTAAGGTCAGTTTCCGTTTCAATAAATAAAATTCAGTCTGTGCAAGAAAATTACTTCAAAACATTGTCATACCTATTTTCAGATATTTAGTCAAAGCGTTTTCACACACAACCAAGACAAGCCAGAATCAGTTACATCAAGTAATGAAACTGCAAATATTTAAACGGTAGAGTAAAATACAAGGCATTGTATATGCACGAGGTAAATACAGGCCTCCAGTATGCTCTGCTAAAGTACCTATTGTACGTAGCCACTACAGGCTACAGAAGAGAGGAAAATTCTACTCACAAAAATGAGAGCAGGATAAGTTCTTTCTCACATGTTTAGCCTACAGCTTATACTAAACTCCCACCTATTTAATCTTAAATATCAATAGAAGATATGTATGTGGGTAACACAGAAAAGCTAACATTACTGGGCGTGAAAGCTCTGAAGTAACCTTTCTCCCACCCCTTTCAAGTTCTCAGTGTATTTCCTCTGCATATTTTTTTGTCTGATGGCCCATCTTATTTGCAATTTCTCACCATTTTTGCCTCAATTTTTGTGCAGTTTATGTAAGGCCTTAAGTTACATAAGCAGGTTTTTTCTACTTTAATACTGAGATGCAGCTAACGAATGAATATACAGCAGTGATACAAATAAGTGAGTATAATTATAAAGAGTGATATTTTTGGAAGGAGAAAAAGACAAAAAGTATACTTCAATCTATTAGCTAAGTTAAATAAAAGACAGAAATAAGGCAAAAACACAGACATCAGGAAAAACAAACATCAGATAGGTGCAGTAAAATATCTAATCCGAAAGACTACAGGCAGATCATAGAAGGGGAATTTATAGCACTACAGAAAAAACAATAAAGAACTTGGATGGAGCAATTAGGCTGAAAAACCAGACCGAGAAAGGCAAAAGTTCTCATTTGATCCAAGCCGCGAGTAAAGATAATGAAAATTTGCACATTATTAGACATGAAGTCTAAGGTTAATACTGACTGTTCATACATCTATAATACTGGAAACCAACCAATCAAAAATATAAACATCAAAATATACAGAAAACACAGCTTACACCTATTGTTATTTATTAAGTGCATAGTCACTCAGAAGACTATATAATCATCACCGAGGAGTTACAATTTTCAAGTCTGAGATATGGGGGGCATTCTAATAATTATTAACTAATTTTTAAAAAGCATGCAATGTTTTAATCTATACTTGGATTATCCACTCATTATCTTCAAACTGTTTAAGTCCCCGCCAATACTTGCTGAATTCTACCACAACATTTCAAAGTTTCACATTCTAATAATTCCAGGCTAAAATTTGTCTACAAATTCAAAGCAGTAACTTTGACAGGCATTAGGACCTGTAGTATTTCTCCATTTGACATGTGACAAAACAAGTCTGTAGGTATATTACTGTTAATCTGTTTTCCACCTACTACTTAGGTGGATATTGTTTGTTGTTTAACATGACAAGTGTTGCTGTTAACATGATTTCATACATCAAATTCAGATTAAAGCACTTAGAAGTACCTGTAAAATAGGCATGACGGGATAAAGGGCCTCAATAAACTTGTCCCAAGTCAATACTGCCATTACTAATCGTCCCTGGAATAGATGCATCAGAATGGCCTTGGCTGTAGAGTTCACCTGCTCAGGAACAAAAAAAAAAAAAAAAAACCGTAATGCAACCACTGATGTGTATAGGTCAGTTTGTCAATGCTGTAATTGAAAATGTTATACAAAAATATCTCAAAGAGAAAGGATCTACAGACAAAATATTGTCACTGCTTAATGCTACTTTTAAATTGTCAGTCACACCAAACATAAGGTTGTTAGAAAAGCCTCAGAGAAAACACATAAATAGTTCTGCCTAAATAGCACCCAATCATTTTCCCCTTAGAACTCTGGTTTGTCTTTTCTGATATAAAATAAATCATTACTTCAACTTATACACCTACTGGTCCCTCTATCATGCAGGTAAAACAAATTCTGTTTCTTTTCTTTCCTGACCCTACATTTCTGGGGCATTTCATTCCCAGTTTTTATGATATGCTTCTGGAGATAAAGGAAGAAAAAAGACTTAAAGCCTGCTATACAGCCATTTCACTTTGAGGCAAACAAAGGCAGCTACCAAATATTCCAAGTTGTACATTAATACACCCGAAGCTCTTTTTCAAAACAGGCATATGATATAGCACTTATACTGTATTAAGGTATCCTATATTTAGTATGAGACATACAATATATGCAATATTATTTACAGGCTAATATTATTAGTACAATAGGAAAAGAGTGAAAAAACCTCAGAATTCACTCTTCCTTACATAGTGTAAAAATACCTACCTTTAGCAGCTAAAAACCTGCGTTTTATGTCAGAGCTAAAAATCCTCTCACCCCAGGCAACAAGAACAGCCTTTAATAATATCACTCTAGCCTATCTTTAAGAGACTGGATTTGTAAAATTACATGGCAAATCTTAAGTCCAACCTTGGAATGAAAGGTTGTTCTCAATTTCTTCTCATTGTCACATGCCTGAAAGATTAAACTGATGCTTTATTAAAATTTAAGTACCAGATATACACCCAAGAAGTTAAAAAAAAAATGCTTCAATATGATCTTCTTTATACATTTTGTTAGAAGAATAATAAGAATGCATTATAAGGTAAAAGGGAACAAAATGAGATAATTTTGTAAACATGTATTCTCTGTCTCAACAATCATTTAAATTCAATATCAATTGAAGGCTCTTTGTTATGCTTTACCAACAACTAAAAAAGAAAACTGGCATTCCTTTTAATACGGCATCCAGGTGAGCAGTCAAACAAAATAAATGCTTTCCTTGGAAACAATAAGTTACCTACAAAGTACAAATACAAATATATAGCACAATATCAAAGATATTTTAGTTCTCCTTTTAAAATGCTAACATATAAAAAAATCACTTCGAAATGGAATTGTGCCCAGTACTGTGTTAAAAAAATAATCTCATTTCAGGAGACAAGATGGAAAAAAAAGAAATAAAAGTTTGTTAGTCAATGTTCTTTCCTCTCCAGCTGTAGTGACCTTATAGATTAGCTCTAAAGTAGTTACAAATAAACTAAGTAATTTTTCCCCCCTCTCACAATTCCCTGTTTAGATTTATATGTAAGCTAGGAAATAGTGGATATACATTAAGTATTCATGCATATAAACAAACCCAGTGGAAATTTGGTCCTATTCTATAATACTCAGGTAATTAAATTTAAGAACAGATGTGTCTGTAGTGATGAAATACATTTTTATAGCAAAGACATTGCAGATTTAAAATGTCTTTTTGCTCCTCAACCAATGCACACATTTCAGAGGTCGTCCCATCTTTACAAAGACTTGAGCCTTCATGTTTTCCATCATACATACTATTTCATCATATGCACATTTTATTAGTGCTGAATATATTACAGGAAAATATTAAAAAACATAGCTTATTTCATTTTTCATTGGTCTATTACATTTAATAGAATCCTATGCACAGAACATTATTTTGTCTCTGAACTCATCATAGAAAAAATATCTTTCCATTTACTACAACTTCACTGTTTGCATAGCTTTTCTATATACAAGAAACCACATGTAGCCAAAATTTCAAATAAGCCTCAGAGGAGAATATCAACACTTACTTTGCATGAACAGCAACTTACAATTAGTGCTACTAAACACATTACCTCATTCTTATCTTCCTGAAGGCCAAACGTACAGATTTCATATAAAACTTTTGGATGAAGAAGAAAATGTACTCCGTGGCAGACTGAAGACACAGGCTTAGCAATATTATGAATACCTAAACAGTCCTTCAGTAAAAGTAAAGTTGGTTAGTTTTAAAATGTGAGATAGTCTCCACTACTAGATCTTATTTTACAGACTGCCTGAAGTTGTCATCCAGTGTAGTTTGGAAGACTACAGTTCTGAAAGCTAAACATTACAGCCCTGGAAGAAACACCAGCTTTAGAGATCACCGACTGAAAATTCCTGTTGCTACAGAGGACTAAGAAATACAAAATTTTGTTTTTATTTTAAATAATAGTGAAATAAATTAGGAAACTGTATGTGTTGTTTGGAATTACAGGAAAATAAGCAAAACTTAAAACTGGTTTTAAAAGCAGGTAAAAATCTCACAGAAAGATACAAGTGTCTTTCAATGGAGATGAGGGGGCATTGTGAAAGACTGGCTACAGCATCTTTGTACATTAGTGAATTGTGCTATAAGCACAGTAAGTTTATTTGATGTCCATTATAGAAAATAAGAATTAAGACAAAGTATTATTTCAAAAGAGAAAAGAGATTTTTATTTTCTGAGCCAATTATTACTGAATACCTAAAAGCAACTGATGAATATGATATTGCCATCCTTAATATAGAGTATAGTCGTACTTTTTGGAAGTTCACACTCTTTATCCTTTGGGCAATCCTTATAAAAAACGAAGGCAGTGACAAACCTTCCACATAAAAAAAATCAAAACCAAAACCAAAACAATCCTCCTCAAAACAACAACAAATTAAGGTTTTAAAACAGTGAGTACATAAAAGGACTTACATGTTCTTAAACACAACCCAAGCTTCTATACAGAGGAAAAAAGAGGTATTTTTCTTTCACATTTTTAAAATTGTCTGCTGAAATGTCATTCAGAACCTGTCATTCAGGAGTGGGCCCATGTGAACCACATCAGGTTCAAAAAAGGCCAAGGTCCTGCACATGGGTCTGGGCAACCCCCATTATCAATACAGGCTGGATGATAAATGGATTAAGAGCAGCCCTGTTAAGACGGACTTGGGCAAACTGGTGGATGAAAAGCTGGACATGAACCAGCAATGTGCGCTTGTAGCCCAGAAGGCCAATCGTTTCCTGGGCTGCATCCAACAAGACGTGGCCAGCAGGTCAAGGGAGGTGGTTCTGCCCCTTTCCTCTGCTCTGGGGAGACCCCATCTGGAGTGCTGCATCCAGCTCTGGGGCCCTCAGCACAGGAAATAGATGGACCTGTTGGATCAGGTCCAGAGGAGGGCCACAAAAATCATCAGGGGGATGGAACACCTCTCCTTGTGAGGACAGGCTGAAAGAGTTGGGGTTGTTCAGCCTGGAGGAAAGAAGGCTCCAGGGATACTGCAGCCTTCCAGTACTTAAAGGGGCTTGTAAGAAAGATGGGCACGGACTTTTCAGCAGCGCCTGCAGCAACAGAACGAAGAGTAATGTTTTTAACCTAAAAGAGAGTAGATTCAGACTACATGGAAAGAAGAAATTTTTCACTATCAGGGTGGTGAAACACGGGCACAAGTTACCCAGAGAGGTGGTAGATGCTCCATCCCTGGAAACATTCAAGGTCAGGTTGGACGGGGCTCTGAGCAACCTGATCTAGTGAAAAAAGGGTTTGGTCTAAATGATCTTTAAAGGTCACAACCCAAACGAATCTGTGATTCCATGAACCTCATTTCAGCAGACAAGCAAAACTGAACACTTGAATTCTTTTTAGAAGTAAAAGTAAATACAAATATTTTTGTATAACAGCAGCAAGAAAACTAAGTTACCAGCATTATTAAGAATCCTTTTAAAAAATAAAATTAGCAGCCACTCTTTTTCCCTGCTCTAGAGAGCCTGTCATTCTGAAGTGCAGTACTTGAAGTAACCTAACCAAGTAGATTTAATATCAAAAATAAAACAGAAAACTTCAAGCCCAGGCCTATAGAGATTTCACTGCATATAAAACAGTAAACTCAGTTTGCATTGAAAATGCTTGTAATGAGGAAATCATCTAACACACATTATTTAGCGCAACACTAAGAGCATCAAGTATTAGTTCTAACCTTAACCACTGCCAAACAGCAGTGATAGGCTTCAGTTTTTATATTCAGCAAAGGATGAGACAGTAGACGGAGAAGCACCTTCTGACCGTCAGCCTGGAGCAATGAGTTAGCCTCATCAGACTTCCAACTGAGAATGGAAAAAAAATTAATTTAACTATTACTTATCTTACAGTACCCAAAGATAGTCACAATTTTCCTGTTAAATTTCAGGATATTTGGCAAAAATATATTTGCCAAAATCATAGTATCAATCTTTTTTCTTTTTTTCTTTTTTTTTTTTTTAATATATGTACATAATGAAAGACCACAGTTTTTCAAATTTCTGTCATCAAAATTAGGAGTCTGACAAATATTTCTGTTCATCTGAAAACATAAAAATCTATTGAGCCTTAATAGGCTCCTTAGATCATGGTATTTGATTATAAAAAAAATTCTGTGGTTTCAGAATTTTTTCCCTATAGAGGTAAAAGTTCATCTTACTATCACAAAGTGAATTTATGTTAGTTAAAAAGTTGAAATAAGTTTCCTGTTGCCTGAAACAGTAATCAAACAATAATTAATTCTAACAGCACTAGAACACTGAAAAGTATTTTGACATTTCATCATTCGAATACACTTCTTAGCTCTTAAATGTAGTTTCCTTTGAAAAAATTCCTAAAGTCAAATTCTGAATCAGTATAAAATTAAGATTTTGTATTTCTAATTAAGTGTTTGATACAGAACTTTCCCAGACACCACAGGGTAACTTAAATTCTCTAACTAAGAGACATGGAAAATCTAAAAAGCAATAAAAACTTGCTGTTTAATAAATGAGATGCCATATTGTGACATACAGCATCAACAATAAAGTAAGTCTTTTTAGGATTTCTGGAAGTAAGTTACACAAATACATTTGGAACAAAGGAACTAAAAAAAAAATTTGCAAGACAGGCAAAAAGCCTTTTAAGACTGTTTCTTTGTAAACCACATAGTAACTTCATATACAAAATTCATAAATGCTTATACACAGAAAAGAATAAATCCACTACAAAATGACAGAAATTATTTAGAAGAGACCTTTCAATGGCTAAACGAAAACAAATGTTAATACAAGGAATAAAGAAGTTGAGCTTCTGCTAGAGAAAGTTTATCCACAAAAAAAGATTATATTTTCTCAAACAAGAACTATAACTAGTAATGTACTCACATATCTGAGCATATATGAATGCATTCCTGAAGCAAGGGAAAGTGTTGATGGTAGGGTAGGCTACTCAAGGCCTGACCTGCCAATTCTACTAATTCAGAAAGATTCTTGTCCCCCTGAGAAGTAAAATGAAGAGAAAGAAACCATCAGCATTAGTAATATTAAATGTATACAATGTTATTGCATAATCTTTCAGAATTTACCATCATTAAATACATCTACTAACTAGGGTTTGGTTGAGCCTTTCACAGAGTTTATAATTAACCTGATTAACAAATTCAATAGATTTCAAACAAATAAATTTTCAAACCTACTCCTGGGAAAAAAAACCCTTCAGCTGCTGAATCCAAATAAACTTCTACTAAACTCAATGGGAATAATGTATGTCTAACATGTCATAGCATGAACACTGTAACTCTATTCAAAAGACTTTCTAAAATGCCCAAGAACAGACTCATCCTTGAATACTTCATGCTTTTAATCAAATTATTTTTTAAATCAATACCAATGTTATGTGAGAAGAGTATAATGAAAGATTTAGCTATTAAACTTTTAACAACTCACTATTAATATGAAAGAGCAAGTTTGTTTGTTTTTTTTTTAATTTAAATATATATGTCTTCATATTTTTGGTTACCAAATACATTAAACATGAGCCATTTCAATTTGATGGAGTTAACTTCATTGTAAACAGTATTTTATGAGCAAAGTATTGCTTCTATTAACTCCAGAACTTGCCTATATAAAGGATAGATTAACTCAGATTTAAGATAGCACTACATTTATATTGCTGTATTTTATTCATTTATTTTAGTATCAGCAGAACATGTATTTCACACAATTACTTGTCCATTTGAACAATGGAGAAGAATATTTCGGTACAGTGCTAGAATCTCTCAACTAATAAAGCAAAGTATATTAGTTGTCTTCATAACAAACTGAAACACACAAATCTCACACAGTCTAGAAGTACTTGCTTATTAGAGTTACAATTGCCAATTAGTTGGAAATTAAAATTTTCTGAACTATTTAAATACTGGACAACATAAATATATAGTGTGTGTATGTGTATGTGAGTATTTGCTTCTTTCTTACTTCTTTGCCCAGAAAAGATCTTATGTCCAATCTCCAAGTGTTTATTTCTTTGGTTTTACTTAGGTTTGTAAAAAAAAAGATTTCTACAGACATAAAAGAGAGTAGATTTAGACTAGATAGAAGGAAGAAATTTTTAAAAATGAGGGTGGTGAAACACTGGCACAGGTTGCCCAGAGAGGTGGTAGATGCACCATCCCTGGAAACATTCAAGGTCAGGTTGGATGGGGCTCTGAGCAACTTGATCTAGTTGAAGATGTCCCTGCTTGTTGCAGGGGGGTTGGACTAAATGACCTTTAAAGGTCCCTTCCAACCTAAAGATTCTATGATCATGAGTAGTACTAGTGAAAACAAATATAAATTAACTACATCTTGCATGGTACAGAATACTCATAGTTTTGGATCTTCTTTGGCTATCCTAGACTACAGTTTTTAACCACAGATAAAGGGGAGGAAAGAAATTTGCCTACAGGACATATTTTATATAATAAAATTCCATACCTTCTTATGAACTTCAATCATAAAGCTACAAGTGCATTCGATTGAATATGCAGCTTCTGAAGCTTTTTTATAAATACTATAGTTCTCAGTACTCATCTGCTCCAGATACGCTGCAATGGATTCATGAATACTTGGGTGTTCCAAGGAGAAGGACACGTCCAGAGAGAGAAGAAATAAAGCATTCAGCAAACTCTTTTGTAAAACTTTACTTGCCTTTGAAAAAGGAAACAACTGTCAGATTAACAGCCTGAAAATACAGTAAAACCAACAACAGCATTTGCAGTTATTCAACAAGTACATTCACTATCGATATCGATGCTACTTAAAAATTAGAGAAAGAAACACATATCAAATGAGGTCTGTATGAAGTTTGGATTTGTTTTTGTTGGTTGGTTGGTGTGGGTTTTTTTATTATAAAGTGAGAGTACATTAGATGATGTAGCCTGTTGACCCTGGCTGGATGTCAGATGCCCACCAAAGCCGCTCTATCACTCCTCCTCAGCTAAACAGAGAAGAGAAAAATACAACAAAAGGCTCATCGGTCGAGGTAAGGTCAGGGAAAGATCACTCAGCAATTACTGTCACGGGCAAGCCAGACTCGACTTTGGTAATAAATTAAATTAATTTGCCAATCAAATCAGAGTAGGACAATGAGAAATAAGACCAAATCTTAAAAACACTTTCACTCCTGATTTTCTCTACCTCTTCCCCTCCAGTGGCGCAGGGGGATGGGGGTTGCGGTCACTTCTTCACATGATGTCTCTGATGTTCCTTCCTCCTCAGCGGGAGGACTCCTCACACTCTTGCCCTGCTCCAGCCTGGGGTCCCTCCCACAGGAGACAGTCCTCCACAAAATTCTTTAACATGAGTCCTTCCCACAGGCTGCAGTTCTTCACAAACTGCTCCAGCATGGGTCTCCCACAGGGTCACAAGTCCTGCCAGTAAACCTGCTCCAGCCTGGGCTCCTCTTTCTCCACAGGTCCTGCCAGGAGCCTGCTCCAGTGTGAGTTTCCCATGGGGTCACAGTCTCCTTTGGGCATCCAACTGCTCTACCATGTACCTCCATGGGCTGCAGGGGGACAGCCGGCCTCACCAGGGTCTTTACCAGGGGATGCAGGAGAATCGCTGCTCCGGCATCTGGAGCACCTCCACCGTCTCCTTCATTGACCTTGGTGCCTGCAGAGTTATTTCTCTCACATTCTCACTCCTCTCTTCCCTGGCTGCAGTTGCACAGGGTTTTTTTCCCCCCTTCTTGACTCTGTTATCCCAGAGGCGCTACCACTGTCGCTGATGGGCTCGGCCTTGGCCAGCAACGGGTCCGTCTTGGAGCCGGCTGGCACTGGCTCTGTCTGACACAGAGGAAGTTCCTAGCAGCTTCTCACAGAAGCCACCGCTGTAGCTCCCTGCTACCAAAACCTTGCCATGCAAACCCAATACAGATGTCAGTCCTAATGTCAGACCTACAAATAGTCACAAAAGTTGTGAATGATCCCACCACAGCACTAGCAACCACATGCACCACTGGCCAGAGTCAATTTACTGTCTAACCACTAGATGGCAGAGAATACTCAGACCACAGTTATTTCTGTATTTAATAAAAAGCTGTCTACAATTCCACATAGTAATATCACATAGTAAGGACTGGGATTCCTGTTGTTGTTTTGGTTTTTGTACTGCAAGCATTCAGTATTCCTTTAACCAAAATTTTGACCTCAAATACAGTAACTTTTTTCCAACTCTTATCATACAAAATTTTAATTCTGTGTATTATGTACATAAGAACATAAAGACAAAAGTTATCAAAAGTCATACATTAGTATGTCTAAACTTATTTTCAGGTACAAGAGACTGCTTGTATTAATAGTAAAAGACTTAAGATTTGTGACAAGAAGTCTGTAACTGAAAAATCGATCTGCTACTCGGATTGAAGGATGTCTACAAAAAGCTACACTGCAGTAAGAACTGATCTAAAAAAATGTAAACCCATACAGGTTTAAACATCTTCTAACACTTTCCATCCCACAAAAACTTCCAAACGTCAGACCCCACCCCATCTGAAACAAACAGGAAAAAAAAAATAAACAACTCAAGAGCTACAACAGAACTTCTTTTAAAGAACATTGGAGGCAAAGAATAATTAACACCACTATGATGTATGAAACATAATTGCTTACTATGTTCCATCAGATTAGGATTGATGATTTTAAACATTATGTAGTTCTAGTCTTACTTGCATGTATACTATAAACGAGCAGGGGGCAGCATAGCTTCGCAAACCATGCATCATACCAGAAAAAACACTATAGGAGGAAAAAGAACATTGAATTTCAAAAACTCATTAAAAAACTGTGCTAAAAATACTTTTTTGAAGACTTGGAATCTGCAGAAGATTATGCAGAATGCACCAATAACTGAAGAACAGCCTTCTGTGATCATACACCAGCCAAAGTAAATCAGACTGATTTCTCTGTCCAGTGGCTATTCTCCCAGTATTAATCACTGAGGAAGGTATCACTTTTTGCCCTCTTAAAATGCAAAAGCAAAAGACAATCACTTAAAATTACTAATGGCATACCTTTTCTACAGGGAGAAGTATTTGCAGCAATCTAACAGTGAAGAGTGAAATGCTAATAAATGCCGTTCTGTGATGCACCAACATCACCTCAGGCTGCTCTGCACTTACATTGGTTTTGTGATATAATATAGTTTCTCCAAGCAAACCCAAGACCAGAAGCAATTTGTCTTTCTGAAAAGAAAATCATAAATAGAATCATTAGAAATAATTGAAACATTACTGTATCTTTACAGTGTTTATACAGCACCCATAGCATCATTAACATAATTATATCTAATAATTCAAAAATGCAGAAATGGTATTAAAAATACAGCACTTTGTCTGCCATCTGAACAGAACTGTGCATTAGTTCTAGATGTCACTCTACCTTCACTTACAGTTCTGAATACTTTGGTTAGTAATTACCCATTACTGGTTACTCTCCCCTCTCCCTCCTTTTTTTCCCCTCCTCCTTAATTACTGCTCACTACACTTTTAAACTTCTGGAATTTTAATTATTTTGAAGTTCACTTTTAATATGGGAATATTAGGAGCTGGTCTGAACCTGCTTACAAAGCTTTACCTTAAAATTAAAAAAAAAATTTAAAAAACCACAACCCAGACTTTGAGAACATCAAATATTTTTTATGTCTATTCATTCTCAGAGGAAACAGCAGCACATTTCTCAGATTATGTAAAATCCTACTGGAAAATCACTATCTTTTGGATAAATTCAGCACATTGACACTGGATGAAACAAAATTATTTTTCTAGAATTTTGGTCACCTGAAAAAGCCAGGTTTGTACTTAAGGACACTAGAACAAATCATGATTAAGAATGCAATAGCACATGTGAGATTTAGTTTATTAATTCCAGAAATTGATACTCACTGTTAAGCAATTAAGCACTATATCTGACTCAACATATTTGAAGCTGAAGAAAATGACAACAAGCAATTGGCTAAATCAAATCAGTCTTTTTAAGTAATTATCAACACACATTATTACACAGTAAGTTGAAAGGGATTAATTTTTATCTTCAGGAGTTCAAAAAAGTAAGTTTCTCTCTGCCCTGCTACAGTAGCAGAGGCAAGAAGAGCCTCTGCTTCAAGACCACGGAGTCTCAAATCAACAGTATATTCAAAAACTTTATTCCTCCCTGAGACAGGGATGACTATCTCAAAACTAGGGATCCACAAAAACTGTGGATTGCTGTAGCTCCTCAGCATCTAACTTTTTGATGTGGCAGAATCAAACTGTACTTAAGTACACATGACAAAACTGGAAAACAGTAAGAACTTTACTTGGGACGAAGGAAGCATAAAAACAGGAGTAAAATATACACAGTTACAAACTTAAGTATCTTTGAATATGATTTCCAAAATACGTCTTTTTCACAAAGATATTCCAATGAGTACAATGATACTTACAAGAGTTTAAAAAATGGATAAACAAGGAAACATAAAGCAATAATAAAGGTATGCAAGAAATGCTTTCAAGTTTCCTAGAAAGGACACACGTGACCTCCTTCCCTTGGAGCTAATACAAAACACAAAAAGGAAGCATATTTTCTAAGCACTGAACCCTAACAACTCTAAAAATACAGTCTAATTCTGATAAAAGACATTTCACTTGATGTAGCACTAAACAATATAAAGGTAAGTGTAACGGTTGTTTCCTAAAATTGTCCATTGAGTTGTTTTTATTTACTCAATACACTAAGAAAGTTGAAGAGCTCTTTTTTTATCTCCTACCTTGCAACTCCTTTATCAAAATTAGCTTTACTGAATGGCACTGCACAGTCCAGCTCTGCATCACAAATTGATGCAGACTCATAACTTCAAATGGGAGGTGAATTTTCTATCTGAAAAGTATTTTACTAATAAATCTCAAAGTTCTACCAATGGAATACAGTTATATCAGCAAAGCGCTTTTTTTTTTTTTTCTTCCCTATTTTAAAAGTCAGTATGATGGTATAAAATTACCCAGTCTCATTGCAAAGTTTTGCTTGTTAGTAGCCTGGAAACAAACATTATCCTACTAACAACCACCAGTATGATGTACATGTGATGATGCTCACAGTTTCTACTGTAGTTTGACAGATTTATATGCAATGGAATATCCTGACTCAGGTCATACAAAAACTAGACAGAAGATTATATTAAGCTTCTTAGAGCAGATGTTCTGCAAGCAATCTTCAGTACTGACTTGATGGTCATCAATTATAATAGATCTTGATAGATCAGTACACCAAACTCAAAGAAGAAGTTCTTATTCACTGCTAGGTCCTATAAATAATATAAATATTATCATTTGTGAAATAGACAGTAGGGAAGCCTATAGTCATATTTTAATTAATAATTATTGCAATATCATTGTTTCATATTCAGTGGTATTTTCATAAATTCAAATTTAAGTCATGTGCATTTAAGATTACACAACTCAAGTTTTTAGACAAGTTTCAGTCTGCAACTCAGGTATGTTTGTTACATTCATAAACCATGCTGGTTTATTTTTCAGCCTTCAGTTGTCTTCAGAAAAGCAAGCCATCCATAGTTATTTCATCTGTTATTCACTAATTTGATATTTCATGTATATAGCAACTGTCAACTGTGCTCAGGTATGTCTTTCCAGCAATTTAATTGTTTGGTCAACAGCACCTTAACACTCTGAATCTATCCTGGGCCAAAAAGCCTTCTCCTTTCTTTCCTAGCTAAGCAACAGAGTAAAGGATAGCTGAAATTGTGCAGGAATCTATAGGTCCTGTGTAGGAAACAGATATCATGTATCTTACAATTCCAGTGTTGGATCTAAACAGTTATCTCCTTAATTTTAAACAGATAATTTATAAGGAGCAAAGAAAATGAAAGTTGTTATTTACATCAAATTGGTCTCCAACATTTGTAGTTAGTATTTTTCCCCTCAGATCCCCTTCCCTGCATGTGTTTCTCTCAATAGCTACTTAACAGCCTCTCACTACAAGACAAACTTCATTACTTATTTTCTTGACGTGAAACTTCAAGTATCATCTGGTAAAAGAACTTACATTTAAAATAAAAAAAATGTGCCAGTGACAGAACTAATAAACTATTTTAGATTTTGAAAACAGTAGCTCAGCAGAAGATTAGGTATGTATATGAATTACTACAGAGTTATTATCAGAGGCTTGTAAAAGCAGGCTGTTAAATACTGCTGATCAAAGCCTTAAGAATCTTACCAGTTCCAATGCAAAAAGGCTATCATCTTCCCAAACATTTTCAGAAATAGAATCACCAATAAGAAACATATCTTCAAGAAGCAATTCAAGCACTTCCATTGTCACTCTCCTACTGCCTAAGAATACAAATGAGAGGATAAATTCAAATACAGACAAAATATTATATTATGATATTCAGAAAACACCACTTTAAAGAAGGGATTATTCAAAATCTGGAATTCTGATATTTAATTTTCCTATACACTTTTACTAAACTGATGCTAACTGCCTTCAACCACCAATAGCACTGAATCACAGAAGACATCAACTTGCCAAAATCACAATAGAAGAGATTAAAGCAATCATATACTTGAAGAAAAGACTGCATTTCCTTAAGTCCTATAGTACTACATAAAGTTTATTACAGCTGTAAATCAGATTACTGGACGACTTTGAATTTCAGAACCAAGTCACCCAGACAGCTAGGTTACAGATCTTCCATATATATATCACCTACTCCTATTAATCCACATTTTTGGTATAGCAGGAGTAGCTTTCTTCATGGCTTATTTTGTTTGAGAACTTCTTTTGAAAGGTAAGAAGGTAAGCTTTATCCACTTGTGCTTTTCTCCATAAAAATTCCCCCCGCCCTGTTTAGGCTAATATTTATTAATTTTCATTGCTCCTTCTGAATCACTATCTCAAAAACAAGGTTAATCTGGTCTTTCTATTAGTGACTTTTATACTTTATACAACTTTATGCTCAAACATGGGGCTGCAAAGAAACCTGGCCCAAGCTTAAACATTTACAGCCTATATTTACTACACATATAAACCTCTTGGTAATATCCCCAGATAATGAGACAATAGAGGAAAAGCAAAGGCTAGAAGGTTTCATGAAGAACCAGGCAGAGTATCTGGAGTCAGACCAAATATTTTCAACCTCAGTATAACAGATGATGCCAAAACTGTCTGGCATCCTACAGAGCCATACGGTGACAGTTTCCCTCAAATACTCAATTTAGTGCAACTGTTGGCTTAGTTACTTGTTGACGGTATGTTTCTATTTAAAAACCATGGACAGATTTCACACACCACCATTTAATTTCCAGTTTATTTTTTAACTACCATAAAAATTTTGCATCCTCCAAAATCTGTTTAAAAAAAACCTAGCAAGCTCTACGACTTGTTATGACTGAACATTAATTTCTTTGTCACTTTTTCTATCTTTTACAGATTTTATACACTGTAGAAGCCTTGTTGATATACTTGAGGAAAAAACATGTGTGTGACTATGTATGTAGTGAGAATGACCACAGCTCATGCAATTTGCAGCCCAGGTGACCTGCTCTGAGGTGAGCATATAGCAGAGAATGGCACAGGGCCTTTTTGAAAGTTTGCTTTTTTCCTATCTCACAGAGGTACTGTGTTGCATCTATTTTAGGCAAAAAGTTGCCATTTTGAAGCGTATATGCCTGAAAACTCAAAAAAAAAGCACTTTTTCTGTCTTCACAATTATTTTGCAAATTCTTAATCAAAATTCTGTGCTTAAAACATTTGAAAGGTGACAATAAATTTCTCCATTATAATACAAGTATTAAAAAATGGTGGCTTAGAGTTACAGTTTTGAAAGTATTTCTAACTTAATAACTAAACAAAACATCAGCAACACTTTGCTGTAGCTGTCATGATCTACAGACATGCAAATTCATTTCACCATACTCTTACATGAATATACCAGCAAAATACTCATTTCCCAACACCTGTGGCAATTAGTATGTGCTAAAGGTTCATTATTACTGAAGGCACAGTAAAGCAGATATAATCAATGACTGTAGAACAAATATTTTGCTGTTCAGACTTAAATAATTGGCTTTAAGACATGCAGTATTAACACTAAACTTCAGACAAGTATGGTAACTTAAAACTGATCACAAAAAAAAAAAATAATAAACCAACCCACAAAACCACCCCAAACAACCAAACCCCACAAAACCAAAAAACACACAACCCACACCACTACTGATTTCTGAAATGACTTCACTCACAAGAAAGGCCAGCAAAAAGGAAGAATAATTCCAATGAACATCTCGTCAAGGAACAGAATTGAGCTTAACTGAAATACACGTTATATTGTACAATACAAGCAAGTAAATTTTGCAGTAAGCTTACTGTTTTTCCTTTACCTAGTAATTTAAACAGTTAGAAGACAATCTACACTATAACATATCTACCACATAAGGTGATACTAATGTCAATCAGAATGCCTGTTGATTTTACTGAAGAAAACAATTCAGAAAATATAACCACACGAGAAACAGTTGTGTTACTGTGTCATTGTCTCACAGTATCAGTGTGCCTTCAGAGCACAGGATTTCAGATCAATGGGAACAGGATAAAAATATTAGTTTGCTTACAATCTATGTCTCATTACAGCACAGTGGAAGAAAGAAGAAATATGATCTAGTAGAGTTTAAAAAGTGTAAAAAAACAGAGCAAGAGAAACAAACACAGATCAACTTAATGTGAAAATGAAACTATTTTACTTCTAGGATAAGATGCAAAGAAAGACTCTTGAAAGATGGAAAAATTCAAATCTGCAGAGTTAAAATATAGTGAAGTGACATGTGCCAGAAATGGAAAAGATAGAAAATACATCTTCTGCAGTTTCACATTATAGATAAAAGAGAAGATGCCAGAAGTCATGAATGTACTTGTGAAGAATTAATATTCAAATATCACTGTTCTGAAAGGGGAAAATAAAACTTTTATTCATTTTAGTTTGGTTTATTACCAAAAAATGAGGATTGAATAATTTTCCTGTGCACACAGATGAGTGCTGATGTCACTATGAAACACAGAAGTAAATTAGTATTTTGTGACAGAACAGCAAGTCATAAAAAGTTATAAACAATCATGAAAACAATAGTAAATGGAAGTTTCATACATATTTCATGCAATTCTTATAAGTTAAAGCCTCTACCCAGCTCAGGAAATGTTGACAGGCATATTAAAAAAACAACTTTTAGTATTCTAGTCATAGATACACTTTTCCAGCTCCTATATTTTAAAATCTTACCATGTTTATCAATACCTGTTTTGAATTACATTGCTTTACAACTAAATACTATTTTAGACAACCTAAGAGCAAAAAGACTGTCCTTCAAAAAGGCTTTCTAAGTTAAAATACAAATCTTTACTTGCAATTAGGCTATCATTACTTATGTTTCTTAAAACATAATTATAATTTGTTACTGCATTCATAAGAATAAAAACAAACCTTTTCCCAGAATGTTTGTTTATTATTTCTTGAACAGGAGGAAAACTACGCTCAAGGAGATCAGATGTTTTAAGCGTCATTATTTTTTCATCTTCTTGAATGACATTTTATTCAGCCACACCATTTTTTCCACCACACACACATACATCTTTGTGCCACTGCTTAACACCATCAGTAAAAAGCATGTGAAACTTCTGCAGCTATTCTGAAAATCAACTCGAAAATTCAACCTGAACAAAGGCCCTAGATAAGAACTGCTGTAACTAGCTACAGTGTATCAGTAATCATCTGGACCTTATTTATTGAGGTACCCACCTCACAATACCAGCTTCATAAGAGGTTTGTACTAAAGGTGGAAAGGATACATAAAGTGCAATAAAGTTCAAAACTTTCTCACCTGTTCTTAGAAGAGGTATTGCATTTTCCAAGACAGAAACACAGAACTGAGGAAGGCTAAGCTGCTTCATCTGTAATTCCAAAGTGTCCTCATCTTCAGTATCTGGTAGGTCAATATGTCCTGCGTCAAGTGGGGAATGCAGAGAGATTCTGGAGTTTGCATTTGCTTGAGTACTGTTTCCACTTAAAACAACAAACCAAAAAAAAACAGAAAAAGAGACATAGTTAACTCTTGCAAAGAGAAAAGTCATCTATGTATAGATGTTAAAAACTGCATCAAGTATTTCAATGTCCTCCCATCCTTCCTTCCATCCCAATCTTTCTCTGCAATCCACCAGTGTTGCAGGAAGAAGGGGACTTGGATTGGTTGTTTTAGAAGTCAGAACTGGTAGCATCACAAGACAATGCCTACTGTTTTGGCAGTCATCTTCAAATGCCCTTAGAAATGTGTCCTGGAAGAAACACACATGCAATGAATACAATATTGCAAGAGAAAAATCAGTTGGTTTGAAATGTCATTTTTGATGAACAAAGTCTATCTGTTGCTTGAAGCAAGGCCACTTACTAAATTCAATTTCAGCCTGAACTATACCTACTACATTAAAACCATTCTATGTGGCTAGTTACAAGAATCTTTAGAAGGAAAATTAAGTAAGTTTAAGTCTGTAGGACTTCTTTGTCCACTGTAAAACAGAAAATATTCCCTTTTCCAAGAAAGCCTTAAGTGCAACCAACTATATATTATAAAATATACATGTAGTTATTATATTATATGTAATTATTTAAAATTATAAGCTCAATATATAATGCATAGTTTTATTATTTTCCAACTGCTTTCAAAAATAATCCAATTCTATTGGCAGCATTACAATTAATACAACTCAGAACAAATGTTTTTTAATGTTTTTTCAACACTTAGCAATCTTGAACTGCTTTAAAAACCTGTATGACTTTCATAGTTGGTTTTTGTTTGGTTGCTTTTTTTATTATTGAACAAGCTGAAGAAACTGAATTGTGACATGACTGTTACATTATATTGCCTAATGTAAAAGATTTCTAAAGAATAGAAATTAAGAATTTAAAAGCCAACTGATTTTTTAAGAGGTCAATGGAAGACTATAAGCAAAACAGAAGAGTTCATCCACACATAGTGGTTCTGATTGCACTCACCAGAGGGTAAGGAAGGAGAGGTATCAATCATAAAAACAATTCAGAGGAGGAAAGGTTATGTTTCCAGGCAGAATTTGAAACAGACAAACAGATAGATTGAAGAGTCTCAAGATTTAAGAACAAGGAAAAAGAAGAGTTACATCTAGAATGCCAATAAACAAATAATTTATATTACAATTATGTTGAAAAAGACAAGATACACTAAAAGCAGGTCTTCCATGCCAAAAATCAGCAACGTCAGAGCAACAATATGGTCATCTCCCTTTATCAAATTTTCTATTCAACATCATGTTTTTCTTTACACTGTCACTGGAGTAAATTATATCTTTCTAAGAAATGGAATTCATGGGCAGTGAGCAGCTTTATTACAGAACACAGGATGCAAGAATATAAAAGTGTACAGTCAAGAACAGCTCATAATATGATCTTATACTTTTAACTAATTACCACTCCCTGGTTTGTAGATGTCTCATCACAGTCTTAACTGGTTCTTACCCTTATGTAGATTTCCTTACTACACTGATAGTGTAGTAAGGAAATCTACAGGCCATCCCTATCTCTTGCACAATGTACACCAGCTACTATTAAACTGTTAATTTATTAACTGTTAATTAAACTGTTCAACTGGGCAAAATGGTCAGATCCTAAAATGCCTAAAGCCTGGAGTTCATTTACAGTGCCATATTACTATTACTTACATGATATTAAGTCTAATATATTCTTTTTATGAGTAAAAATAAGCTTTTAATATAATGACTCTCAAGATGCATTTACAATTAAATACGTGAGTTACTCTCATCTGTAACGTCACAGTCTATTTGAATAGATAGAATTTAGTCAATCACTAAGCCAATATACCATAGAGACTCAAAGGCACTACCAAGCAGCACACAGTAAGGATTCACAAGAACTTTTAAAATCCCACATACTAAAAGACATAGGTTCTTGAACAGCACCTTTAAGTTTGTTGTGTCAAGATGAGTAACAAAACCACACACAAAAACCTCAACATTTTGAAGGTATACAGACAATTCATAATTTCATATTGGGAGTTGAATTTTTAGACGATATACAACTGAAATTTCTTGTCAGATTTAACAACAAAGTTTAAAGATTTTAATGGAAATCTCTATACAGCATAGCATTTTTGACAATACTGTACACTGTTACCTTTGGCATGGCCATTCAACTTATAAGAACTTAAGGGGTCACCTACTGAAGAAAAAGAGAAATCCCTGACTTTACAGCAAGTCTGCATAAATGCTTTTCTGCATCTTACAAATACATGCACAAGCAATAGCGATTGATACCAAGAGATTTCCTTTAAAGTGTTGGTTGGGTACAGAATGCGGCAGGTAAAACTGATCTTATGTATTCTGAACACCACTTAAAGAACTGTTTAATTCATAAACATAGTTTGAATTTTCACAGGTTAACAAAATTCTCACATCATCCCACACACCGACAAGGAGCTGATGATATAATGATATCTTAGTTATTCCTTGTTTTACTCACCTGGAAGATGCTGCATCCCAATCTTGTCCATCTCCTCTAGGACGCTGAACTGTTCGTCCAATCACAGATGGCCGAGGGCTACTACTTCCAGGTGATGGATTCTGAGAACGAGGAGGACCTCTTGCTTCTTGACAGTAAGATATAGATGAATTCTGGGAAGCTGTGCCTTTATGTAACACAGATTATATTTTCCATTAGTGGAATCTATTATTCTGAAAGATACTACATAGTGAGGTAATGGTAAAAGTACCTAAAGTAGGAGATGGAAAACACCAAGTAAATATTGGAGAGCTAGGACAACCTATCACTGGCAAGTAGCAGAGTTTGGAAACTCAATTCCAAGGCAAAACCACTGAAAATTACAGTTCAATCACAAACCTTGAGTTTTAAAAATACAAATATAGTGTCTGACTAAGGTTATTGGGTTTATTGATGTTGTAACTTAATTATCAAAGAAACAGACAATATAATTTATTAAGACACTAAATATAGTGGCAATCTTATGAAGAGAACCAGACTGCCAATTTACAGAAACAAAGTTGATTAAATTCAGCTGACAAAATGGAAACAGGAAGATCATTATAACTAATCTACACTATTAAATCTACAAAATTTAAGCATTAAGAAAATTGTGAAATAGTCCTAATTATTATAAAATCCAAAACTGATTAAACTATTTTTAGCCGTCAGAATAAAAAAAGAAAATTAACATAGCTCATTAAATTAGTAACTACATTGTTAAGCACTAATAGCTTGCAAACTTGTCTGAAACTCTGCCCACTTTTGTTTTACAGATTTAATTTAGGTTTAGTTAAAAATCCCCCTCCTGCTGACAACAAACAATTGGATACTTGGAAAAGTTGATGAATGAAGAATCACAGGAAACTGTAAAAATAAATAAGTAGTTTAACATAATGCAAGTACTCCAAAAATATTTATTAACATGAGTAGTACTGAACACAATCATTTAGCAAAAGTTTCACAAGATTATATTTGCTATAAAGCTGCAGATTGGCTTTTTTTTTTTTTTTAAATCATTTTAGACAATCTTACCTGTAGTAAAAACACAACAGTATTTCAAATATTTAAAAATACTTACCTTGCTCTGTGGAAGAAAAGCTTGGATCTCTGTGAAAGTTAAGTCTGCTTCTCAAGAAGATGCACAACTGTTGCAGGCATGACACAGCCTGCAAAGCTAACCGATGTCTTCCATCTCCTCCAAAAGCAAGGTTTAGCAGAGACAAAAGGCTCTGAAAATACAAAACCATCAACATTGGTAGCTGAACATTAATGCACCTTCATGAACAACCATGCCAGCAAGAGCCTTGCCCTAAATATAGTTCAAAAATGCTTCTAAGTGTTTAAAAATAATAGCAAAGAATAAATAGGCTTAACTACTGTTTTCGTACTGAATGCAAGACTATCAAGTACTAAGGAAGAAGCAGAGTCGCACATTAGATTTCCAATAAAGTCACTACTTTCCTCATGAGAGGCCATTAGAGCGTGTGCATATGACAGTGACACAATTTTATCTTATTCATAAGAAACAAAGTATTACTTCATATCACACTTCATTACTGATTAGCAATACACGTTATTACAACCAAGTAACTTTCTAAACACAATATATAGCTAATGTCCCCTTTTCTATGCACCTAGAGTTTACACAAAGGAACTTTCATTTAGCTATTTTATTTAGAAAAAAATTGTACCATTTACACCAATTCTTACTTGGCACAATTTACACCATAGCACAATAAAAATGTTAAACTTCATGTGAATTCTTGCCTGTACAATCTTTGTGCAGGAAAATCTTGCATAATCACATCCTGAAGAAGCTCACACGTACTCCAAACTAAACTTTGGTTGTTACTTCTCAAAGAGCTAAAAATGCAGTTCATATTTAAATATGTATTTAAAAAAAAAGCAGCCAGTAATTATTAGCTTGAATAAGTCTTTACAAGAAAGTTATAATCACAACACTGAAGAATCTGAGGAAAAAAATGCTGTAAATCTGTTGTCATACCATTTTTTTAAACTTGAATTATTCTTTAGCTATGCTAATTCTGTACACAGTAAAGAACAAACGCAATTCCAGCTGTTATCAAACCACATGTAAAACATGTTCCCAGAAAAGAAATAACTTTATTGATTCTGAACTTGAAATTAAGAAAAGACTGGAAATTCCCTGTGAAGCTAGTGATTATCTCAACGGTATACAGCAAGTAATCTAATGCTTACCAATAAGAAAGTTTTTTTCATTATCAAGGTTCATAGATAACTTAAAAGCACTTGAATTACATACATGGGAAGTTACATAGAAGAAGAATTTATTAGCTATTCTTAACATGTATATTAGTAAATAATAAGAACCTTTTGGGTATTCTACTTAACTTTTATTTTTATTTTTATTGTTTCAGAAACCACTGCAAAAAAAAAAAATCAAACAAGTCCAATTTTAAGGATATGTTTTCTCTTTCTAGACTCAGGCATAAAGGAAATTAAATATTAAAGAGGTTTTCCAGCTTCAGAGGGCTTTCAAAAGAAAAAAAAAAACACCAAAAACCTATTACAAGAAAGCTTACAATTAGACTAGACTTGTTAAATAGTCCAGTCCATGATACTGCATTGCTGGCTATGCTAGAAATCTATCAGAGCTCTGTGTCAGCTCATAAGGAATCCCAACTACAGAACTTTTCCTTGGCCACTTGAAACACTGTTTTTCTAAATGAAAGTTAAAAACAAACAAACAAACAAAAAAATCACTGCAGAAAGATTATCTGAATCACTCAATGCCTAGATAAGGCATTGTACTGAAACTTACTGGCATAAACCTAGTTAAGCTACTATTGAAAGTATGGATTTCTCTGCCAAGCAGCTGTGGGGGTAAAGTAAATAATTATTTTATTCCAGTTTGTTCTAAATTAACTGAATGAAATCTCTGATTCAGTTGAGAAATTCAGAAGACAAACTGAAGTGTCACAAAGAAAAAAAATGTCCTCTGAATTAAACACAAAAAATGGAGAGCAATATTAACAGAAAACCTGTCCTATTACAACTCACTGTTTACCTGCTCTGCCCAACTTCAGTGCAGCTTTTACAATCATTTATCAAAAATTAACTCATTAGGTTATTTACAGGAACGGTCTAATGATGCAGAAGGACAGAAATTTAGAACCACTTGTACCCAAGAAAAATAAAAACTACAAGCGAACTATAATGTTTCCATTGCTATACCTTTCATTTGATGAAAGAACATGTCTATCTGTTGAAGTCAGAGTTAGCCAAGGAAATGTGGAAAATTTCAAGCATTTCACTACAAAAAAGGAGAGCATAAATTTTGCAGTATATTTTATAGAAGTATTACACTGTATATTTCCATAGCAAAGTCAAAAACTTATGAACTATATGCTATCTGAAATAGAAATACTTTTTATTAAATAGAGACTTGCACAAACTCAAGTGCTTCTAATGACAGTTCTCAGCAATACCAAAAAAATATTAAGGCTATCTCAAACCAAAATGAAATACGTTTACTGAAGAAAGTTTTAGCAAATAGAAAACACAGCATTTGTGGAAGAGTACTCATTCCTCCACATCATGCTTTCAATCAAATTATCATTTTGTTCTGCTACTAAAGAATATTTATTATCGTGATCTCTAAAAATGGAAGATTGGCCTCATGCTTTTACTCTTAAAGCAGTATAAATTATAGTTTACTAAATTATGACACAATAACTTTTCAACTAAAATAACTTTAAAACTATTTTTAACTTCACATTTGTAATAATTGTCAAGAAATTCTAAAAACAGCGGATACACTGCTAAAAAAAGTAATCTGGTGATTTACACACAGTAACTCCAAAGTCATATTTTAAAATCTAGTTCTCAGCATCGTATTGTATGTTCAATATGACACTATCCTGTGAACTACTACTAGTATATTGGTACAGGCAGAGACTTGCCAAAATAATATCGGTCTGTGTTTGTCAGTGAAACATTTCATATCATTTTACTGGAAAAAAAGAAAAGCACAACACTGGTTTTCATTTAGATACAAGGTAAAGATTTCTGAAGTGCCTAATCTAGTTTTCTGAAAAGTAGAAAGGTACTTCAGACTAAGTTTTGTTGAAATAAAAAGGTATTTAAACAGCCACTTTTGACAACAGAACACAGATCTTCTGAAAAACATTAGCAAACTAAATAATTTTTAAAATTACAACACATTTTAACATACTTCACATATTCCAATGTGTTACACTATTTACCAGAAAAGAGGAAAATCTATTAAGAGGAATGTCACTTTTATAAGCATTACAATTGTAGTTTCTGTGATGCTAGGTTTCACAGAATAACAGCAGGAGAAAGAATAGCCAATAATAGTATCTGTAGTAGAAATAAACCTAAATTACAACTCTAAACACTTTCTGTAATTAACATATAGTTATTTTATGACTACACATACCAACTGTTCTTTTGGGAGGTATTTCTACCTGCGGCAGATGCTTTCTACCTTGACAAAAATATCCAGTGAATAATTCCTCTTGAGGTAGAACTAAAACAAATCAAGGTTAAGTTTAAAAAATGTACACTTGAAAAAACAAACAAACAAAAAATGAACCAAACAACAACACAACCAAAAGCAAAATTCAATTTAGCCTCATGTTTTTCCTGAAATGCCTCCCTTTTGACCTTGAGTTCTAACCTGTTAAGGAAACAGATTTAAAATAGTCTCAGTTTATCAGGGAAGTGGAGTAAAAAGAGTGTGTTGATGTTTACTTTTTACAATCATATTCTACAACTGTTAAGTTTTTTTCCATTTTCTTACACTACCTCACATACCACACAAGCAATAGCAAAAACAATCACACAAAATGTCTTGCCTGATGGAGAACTGGCAGCCAAAAAAAAAAAAGTTTTCCTCTAATCTACCTATGTAATAATAAAATTAACTTTTTAAATTAGCTATTTAAAACTTTTTTCTACCAAAACTCCTGTCTTTTCAGGTCAGCTGAAAAGTTGCTCATCCATATATAATATTATTAAATACATGTAATTAATATACAAACTGTATAGCAAAATATACACAAAGTATGTAACATTAAAAGCAATCTCTCCAGAACATAATATTTGGTTCAAAGGGTCAAACTAGATAATGCCCAGATTATTGGTTTACTGTAACTTGTTTTCCCAGTAACTGAAGTTGAAATAGAAAGAAAAATACAACACTCCTGTCAGAAGAGTTAAGATTACTTAATCCACACATGTATACAATTTACAAGATAAATAGGAATTATGTACTATGCTTCAATTGGGTAGTTTCAGAAAGATGTAGTTTAAGAATGCATATGTAAAAGATTATTATATTATTCCCTATACAGTGGCAAACTTAGGTAAAAATCTAGCTAAACCCTTATGTGAGCACAGGTAGGAATTTTTTTTTTTTAATTAAAAAATTAGAAAATTAAAAAAAAAATTCAATTAACAGCCACCATGTAGTTCTAGCAAACTAAAACTCCAAGCATTAGACAGGCTGCAGAAACCACAGGAAAATTACTTTACTCTCTCAGATTGCACAGTAGGAGTGACAGAAGTGTGGCCATTACTACACCACGCAGTGTAACATCAGGGTCTTTCCCGCAAGAACCAGGAGGATGAATTAAGGACCTCCACAGTACATAATCTTCTCCTCTACACTTTGTGCTAAAATTTTTAAGGCAGAAGAGGTGAACCACACAGGTTTACTTCTTGACTACATCTATGAGGCACTGTAAATCACTGTAACAGATAATAAGCTAGATAACAGAAGCAAGTTATAGCACTTCACACATGTAAACTTTGCTTAAAATTTCATATATTTTTCTGTGGCAAATACCCAAAACTAAGTAGATAGTGCATACAACACTAATGTAGTTTTAAAAACCATTCTACTAGGATCACTTACTGCCCCCCCCCCTTTTTTTTTAACGTCTGAATTGCTCTCAAAGTTAAAGTCTGCTATGCAAAGTAGCAAAGCATACTGGCTAAATTACAGATTTGTTCAAAATTACTACACTTGTTGCCATAAAGCAGTCTTTGGAAGTTCATGTCCCGTGTCATGCTGTTTTTATATTAGAGCAAACAGATATTACATATTGAAGAAATGGATAGTGAAGGTCTGATTATAAACAACAGGATTGTTCTTGTGCAGAGATTTCCATTACAGGAATGGCACTTTCTCTGGCAGAATCTGCTTAACATACACTTCATTGACCTCTCAGGAATAACTCACCTACTATGCCCGAAAACCTCAACTTTTCATAGCCTAAAAGCTTTTCACTTTGTTTTCATTTTAAATAAATCACACTTCAAAATATGTAATTTACCTGGTTGATCTACTGAAGGCTGAGACCGCGTTTGATAACGTACTGATAAAGAACTAGAACAAAGTCCAGAAGGGAGGAAAAACAGTCCATCCACTATCCCATCAATTACAGCCTGCAAGTTTGGATCCACATTGGGACGAAGCTGAGATAAGAATTCCACTGCACCGATTCCAATCAGTTTCTGGGCAGCAGGTGGATGCTACATTAAGACAAAAAACTGACAAAGTTAGCCTGAAGAGTCTCAAGGTCTCTTGAACTTGGGGGGGTGGGGCAGGGGGGGCAAGCGGTGAGGAAAGGAAAGAACCCAAATCAAAACAAGTTAGATTTCACCTTTGTTTAGGCCATCCATCAGTTTCAAGGATGGGATTTTAGTGATTAAAACAAAAGAATGTATTATGAGATCTCTGAAATTTCTGCAATGTTTTCCTAACATTTTTAAGATAAGCTGCACCATTGTTCAAATATCCACTTTTCAGGAACAGTGCACGTGTTTAGCTGCAAATCATGTCCCAAAGAAGAAATTAAACTCTACATGAGAAACTGAAGAAGCAGAGGAACTAAAGAAGAAACCCAGAAAATAGTATTTTTTTCTGCTATCCCTATGACCAATTGCAAGTCACTCAAATTCTTTTAATTTCTGTTTACACACAGTGGCTTTATTATTCATGCCTTTGCAAAACACTCTAAATTCTCATTTCATGGAGCTACAAAACCAAATAATAACCAGTTTTATTCAGCGTTAGCATTCTAAAGATGTATAGTTTATATATAAATAAATGTTAGTATGTCATACCTTGATCAAATTGTTCACAAAATTTAGTACTTCCTCTTTCATTGGTACGACTGGAAAATTGAACCACTCCAAAAGATTAAGGAAAAGCAGTTTTTCATGGACCAGATCGGCATACGAAATCAAGTTATGATCTAACTTAAGCAGAATAGTCTTCAGAGATCGTTCTCTTATCTCTGCCAGTTCGTGACCTGCCCCAAAAAAAGTATTAAAAAAACCATAAAATCATCTGACATAACTTAATTCTTATTTAGTCTTATTTGGACAACCAGAATGCTGTCAAAGATCCGTGAAAAATGCTAGCTTTTATGTTGTCAGTATTATGCTTACCAGGAAAAAAAGTATGATTGCGCTCGCCAGCAGTAAGCTGGTAAAAGTGTGAAATATTTAAAAATACACTGATACAATCTGGTGCCAAATGTAAAACAAGAGGATGGCCTTTTTCTTCAAGCCTACAACGAAATTCTGAAAACCTCCACCAGAACAGATCGCGGGTACCGAAAGCTGCCTCAGACTCACAAATTGGACAAAAATCTACCCAAGCCCACGGAATCGGAAGGCACCACAGCCGAGGTGGGAA